TGTTTCCACAACATATATATATATAAAATTACTTTTGATGTAGTAATAGAAGAGCATTTGCTTCAGTTTTCAGAGTTTTTTATTACCAAAGGGACTGGAATAGCAAACATTCCACTTGGAAGGGTGGTTCGGAGAGAGAAGGAAGGAAAAGAGGAGTGGGGGGAAAATCAGCTTAAAATGAACTTGTTCCTGCTCTGAATAACTGAATTTGTACACACAGAAAAGAATCCTGGCTAGGACAAAAGCAGCACTGAAATTTTAGTCTGAGTGTCTCCCCAAGGGTGCCTCGTGCACTTTGCTCTGTGGTTCTGCTGACAAAACTGAGGAAGATGCAACAAGATGGAAACCTCAAATCAAATAAACAAACAAAGGACCCAAACTACTGACAATGGATGTGAGCTGTGTTTGCAGCTTGTGAGACAGATGACCAACATTAGGTGGTGAGAGGATAGAGAGAAATAAAGCTTTAAAAAATAATTCCCTGTTCTGCTCTGGAACTTTAACATACTCTGGATATTTTATTTTATGAACAAGAGCCTCAGCTTGACAGTGACTTTTGCCTACTTTGCTCATTTATTACTTAAAAATAACAAAGTTCATCTCAACATACTCACCTTTGTCTTTGAACATGTGTGCCAACATACTGTCAGGTTCTTTGTTAACCAAAGTGCTCCTAGGAAACAAAAGCAGCCCAACTTTACCTTTCTTTCATCTGTAAATGTTTAAGAATTAATTTCTTGCAAAACTGTGGTGGCAAATAGAAAATACAGAGAAAGCTGCAGGTGTCAAAGACCTCCTGCTTCACAGTAAGTTACTTTTTAAGGTAAATTTTTAATACATTTTTAAGGTATTTTGCTCTATTGAAAGGAAGTTTTGGAAGACCATTTTTACCGGGTGGTGGTGAAATATCTGCCTCCCACATTGAGAGTCAGCCAGTCTGTGTGGGACCCTGTCAGCTCCTCCTGAGCTCTCCCATCAGTCTGAGGATCTGCAGAGAATCAAGGAAGTAATTACTGGCAAAATTGTTAATATTCTTTAATTACAAAGAGGTATCTTCTGAAAACACCACAAAATAAAATCTTAAGTTTATATGAGAGCAAAAGAAACTCTATTAAATAAAAGGTTAAAGATAAGAATTAGAGACTCACCAATGAAGGGCTCCCCTTCACAGACAAACAAAACATCATCATCCCTGAGACAGAGGGAAGAGAAAAAGAAGGTTAATCATAATTTACTGTTCATCTAATTGACAGTGGAACCTCTCCTGATTCTTTCAGGTTAATTATGACCAGTGGCCATTAGCTGGAACTTCTGATTTTTATCTGTATTTTGCAGGTTCTACTGGATTGGAATGACTGACTTCACCAGAGATTTTACCTGCAGCAGCCAGGTAGGGACCACTTGTGTAATCAATAAATTCTTACAAAATAGCTGCTTTTCCCCCCACTCTGGGGCTACTCTGTGAAGCCAAAGTACTGCCAGAATCTGTCTCCTTTACAGAAAACCCCCATTGCAGGGCTGACTGGAATAGGGGGGATTTCATGGCACAAACATTGCCCTGGAATCAACACAGGAGGAGGTGAGAAGGCCTCAGACACAACTTGGATCAAGTTCTGAATCAATAAAAGGTTTGAAGTTAAAAAGACACGAAAGGACCTTTGGGCATCCTGGTTGGAAACGATCACATCTGGTTTTGGGGAAAGCACTGGGTATGGATTAAGGAGGATTAACAGGTTAGTCCCTTAATCCACAGCCCTGATTTGCCTTTTCCTGGCTGATCCTCACCTAATCAAAGCAATATCATCAATGAGCCCCCCTTTCCCGTTGTAAACGCTGGTGGCTTTGATCCCAAGCTTGTTGCTGGCCACAGAGAGCAAATCTGAGAGAGTCCCATACACAGCCACGACCTGGGGAGGAGAGAAGAGGAGGCTGAGAATAAAAACAAACCCAGCAAACTGTGCTCCAAAAGTTCTGCCACTTCAGATTTATCAGGGCTCTCAGGAGGAGCAAAATCCATTTGGATCTCGACCAGGAAAGAAGGGAAAGGAAAACCAGGGTGACGTGCACAGCTCCCACCAAACCTCACTGCAACAGCAGGGAGGGAATAAACGTTGGTGCTGTAGGAATATAATTCAGTAGTTTATTTCTCTAAAGAAATATTGCTACTTGTTCTGTTCCAAGCCTCTCCCAAATGTACTTCCCTCGTTAAAACCAAGGATTAGAGGACAGAGGCATGAGCCGTCTGCACTCAGGATGTGCATGGAAAATCAGGACCACAGACACAATTTAGCAGAACTGCAAGGCTGAAATGAGTCACATGAACCCCTGCACTCCAGGCCCGGCTGGAGATAGCGGGACCATGGGCAGAATTAATGGAATTAATAATTAATACACATTAAAGCACAGTCACGTCAACATCTACACTGAGAATGTGGATGGAAACATCAAGATCATGGTTTCTCTGTGGAACTGTATCCCAGGGCCTTTTCCTCTGCTGGACAAGCACTGTTGGGCCTAAAAATCACTATTTTCAGTCCTGAGGCGATTTTAGCGAGGTTTTAAACAATTAAATGCGATTATTCCCAGGGTACCCGCACGCAGGGTCCGTGTCTCCCCAGAGCCCTCATCCCACAGCGGTGCCTGACACGAGGGGCCGGACGCGACTCCCTCAGGGCACCGAGCGCCTCCCCCGCGACAGATCCCGCCTGTCGCGATTCCCTCCACAGGCACTGAGGGGGACCCCGCGCCCCGCTCCCGCCAGCTCGGCGCGGGCCCGGCCCGGTGCCCCGGGAGCTGCGGGAGGGCGGGCAGGGCCCCGCGGGAGCGGCCCCAGCCCGGCCTGGCCCGGCCTCACCTTCCCGTTGCGGGCGCTGCCGTTGACGAACAGCGTCACCCGCCTCATGCTGTGCCCGCCGCCGCGCCGACACCCGGAAGGGGCGGGCGCTGACGGGCAGGCCCCACGACCAATCAGCGCCGCGCTGCGCCGCGTATCTGCCCAATGGGCAGTGAGGAGGCGGGCCAAAGCCGGGACGGCAGCCAATCGCGAACAGAAGAAGCGTCCATATTTGCATACTCCCTCTGTGATTGGTTGTCGCCCGTCACGTGCGCGCGGGCCGTTGAATGAATTCATTTAATCATTTTATTTTTTCTCCCGTACCCAAGCGGTGCTGCGGCCCAACGGCCGCGATCTCTCCGCCGACTCAAAGAGTCCCCCCGTCCCCGCCCAGCCCCGCGGACCCCCGGGGCACAGCGCCGGTGAGGGGTCGCCTCCATGATCCTCCCTCCCTGCGGTGCCGCTGGGACCGGGGCGGCTGCTGCGGGAGCTGAGGGTGGGGAAGGGGCGGGGGCGCGGAGGGATCCGTAGGGGCGTGGCGCGGTTTGAAAGCGTGAGGCGGGCCCGGCGCGGCGTCCAGGTGAGGGCGGCTCGGCGGGGACCGCAGCGGGCGGCGCTCGGGGCGGCCGGGAGGTACCGGGGGAGTACCGGGGGTACCCGGGGTGTACCGGGGGTACCCGGGGTGCGCTCCGGGATTGCGGGGTGCGAGTGCCCAGGCGGCGGTACAGACCCAGGATCCCCGCGTTGGGAGTTTCTGCCCCCTCGGCTGGTGGCTGTGGCTGTAGCTATCGGCCTCTGCTGGGCCTGAGAGCAGAAAAAGAAAAAATAAGAAAGAAAAAGATTGCCCAGGCGTTGTAAAGCAGATTAATTTAGGTATTTTTGTTTCTAAAAGTGCGCGTGTTTGCAGAAGCAAAGTTTCAGAGTTATGTTATTGAGTTGTACATCATTAACTTAAGAAACTAACTGCAAAAAAACCTAATTTTTTAAAATTTCTACTTAAAAGCTAGTGGTAGTTAAATATATATATATATATATATTACTAGTGTTTCTTCTGCTGATTTCTTTCCAATATATTTGTATCCTTCCAATTTCTTTCCTTTTGTATTCTCTTTCTGCTAATTAGTGTGATTAAAAGCAGCATTAAACTGCTGATATTTATTGTAACGCTTGGAGCAAAGCAGCTACAGTGTGATGGTGATTATTGTGTTTGATATACTTTTATATTATTATGAAGTTTGACAGTGACATCTCAGCCTTGTGGCTCCTTACCCTTGAAATAAACAGGGCAGGAGACTTTATCTCCTTTTAATGCCTTTATTAAGAGTGAGCAGCTCGAGATTGGGAAGCTCCCAGGGTGACTCGGAGGAGGGGGATGTGCGCAGCTTTGTCCCTTGGGGGCAGAGCTGGGGGTCCAGTCCTTGGAGCTTTGGCCGTGACTCCGATCTTGCCTCTCCACCCTTTTCTAGCTCCCGGCCTCGGTTTAAGATGATTTTTGCTCAGGGCGAGGGGTAGCAAAGGTTTTCAGCATCTCTGCAGGCTCAGTATTCAGTTCCTCACGTCCAGGCATCACTCTAATTTCTTAATTCTGCATTGGCTCCTTGTTTTTGGGGTCTTTTCGGTAAGTTTGACACTTCCCATGGCGTGCTGGTCCCCAAGTCTCGTCCTTTCCCCTCGCTGTCTGGGAAGAAGAGCCATTAACTTAGCGCTAGCCAGGGCCTTTACTGACCCAAAAAGAACCATTAACTTCAACGACTTGTGATTATCATAACAAACAGGTAGCACTTTAGCAGCAACACTGTCTGACTGACATTTAACTGACTGGGTTTTGTAACCTTGTTCTCACAAAAAAATGGCGGATTTTTGTTTATAACACCCTGAGCCACTCCTGTGCATGTTTATAATGCAAGTTTTTATTGCTCTGTGTTTTTCTTTCTGGTCCCTGCCCCTTGTGTCCTTTCCCTGCAGGTTTTTGGGGATCGATTTCCCTTCCCACCCCACTATTAAACACCTTGTCCAGGAAAAATGTGGATTTGGGAGATGCTTGAGCATGGTAGTGAGCTCTTGCTCTTAGCAAGTAATAAAGTTTTGGGTTTTTTTCTTTTTAATAGGAATCTATAATTACAGCAGCAAAGGCTGAGTGGATGTTTCTTCAAATAAATCCCGAACAATGTTCAGAGGATCTAAAACTCCCCTGAAAGTTAAAGAAAATGAACAGAAGGAAGAGGCCTCTTTCCCTCTGTCAAGAGCCCAGAAGAGCTGCAAAGTGACCAAATCCAAGGCCATCAGACCATCCAAGAAGGAGAATTTCACTGATGGGACCCAGACACGGTCACCAAAACGTGCCCTGAAGTGCCCCAAAGGCCCCGAGGAGCAGAATCTGTGTGGCCCCCAGGGGGCTGCTGGGGGCTGGCAGCTCGGGGGGGATCTGCTCCTCACTGAGCCCCCCTTGCACACCGGGGAGGATTTGTCCAGCAGCCCAGCTGCTCCCTGGGGAAATGACTTCTCCACCCCTGAGAGGGACAAAGTGGAGGCAGAGCCTGAACTTGGACTCTCTGAGCAGAGGAAAAATCCCATTGGCATTGCTGCTGGCATAAGTGCTGAGTGTGGGAATGCTCAGGAGAGTCTGGGAACACGACCCACGGGTAGGCTGGGGTGACAAATGGCTTGTGTCCTTCTCAGAGGGGCTTCTCCAGCTCCTTTAGTCCAAGCTCCTTCCAAAGGCTCCAGTTCAGGGCAGAGCAGAGTTGGGATGTGCCCAGGAGCACTCTCTGAGGGGTTCTTGCTGCAGCATCTTCCTAGGACATCCCAGATACGGAATAAGGGTCCATTTAACTATACAGGTTCTGTCCTGCTCAGGGAAAGGCTCCCTGTTCATCTGGCTTCAGCCAATGAAGTGTCTTTGGACACAAGGGAATTGCAAGACAAATTCTGCAAGTGTTGGTAAACACTAACAAACAATTGAACAGCTGAGAGGCAGACTTGGTTTGTGGTTGTTTGATGTGCTCAGGGAGGCTTCTTGGGCTGAGCAGGTCATTTTGGATCAGAAAAAGTACCATTAATCAACCTTTAAAAAGATAAACAATTACCATTTGAAAGCTTTAGGTATTACAAAACATTTCTGTGGTTTTGTGCTTTGTTTTTCTTTTTAACTTCTCCTCGTGTCCCCTTTTCAGGGACTTCCCCAACTTCACTAAAGTTGAGGAGAAGATCAACCATTGGCTTGAGGGGATCCCCAGAAAACAACACCCTGATCCGGTACCTGGCGCAGCAGAGGAGCAGCAGGCACACAGGAGCCTTCACCCAGGTGAGAGCCCTCCCCACACCTGCTGGGACCTTCCCTTCCCTGCAGGAGCCACCTTGAGCTGGGACAAGGGGAGCTGATCCTGGGAGGAGTCCAGCCAAGGGACAGCCATGGATTCATTGCTGCTGTCCTTGGTCCCTGACTTCAGGACAAGGGGATGCTGCAGGTTTTGTTTCCACTGTGTAGAGGCTGGAATTCCTGCTCCGTGTTGAGCATGCTGATAAATTTTAATTTTTGGTACTTTGTGTTTGCTGCACTTGGGTTTTGGGTAATGAAAGTGTTGCTGGTTCCAAGTGAAGGCAATTTCAAGCGTGAGTGACTTGGTTAATCAGATTTGTTCAGAACTTGGTTAATCAGATTTGTTCAGAACTTGGTTAATCAGATTTGTTCAGAACTTGAACTATCCTGGGCTACCAGAAAGAAAATTCTAGACTAGAGGAACAGATTAAATGCAATAAAATGTACCAGATTTTGAACCAAAGTTCCTTTTTTCTTTTTTTTTTCCTGTACAGATATAATTGCAGATTAAATGCCAGATCCTTTGTATTTTATGTCCAAGTGCAATCACAAAACACAAAAGCTGCAGTGAAATGCCTGATGGGATTCATTTTGTTTTGGCAGATCAGTCCTTTTAAACCTGCAAATGTGAGGTCTCTGAAGGACAAGATCAACACTTTCCAAGCCTCCTTTGAATCCCTGCAAGAAGCTGAGGGGGAGCCTGGGCTCCCCTCCCAGGAAGGAGGTTCCTGTAAGTTGATTAAACATCCTGGTCTGTGATTTACCTGAAATCTCAGCTCTTCCCTTAGGCTGAAAGCATGGAACCAGGAATGCTTCTTGTAAAACAAAATCATCTTCCTTTTTTGGGCTTGGCCCAGGTGTCTGTGCTTGCTTTGAGGTTTGTTGAAATCATCTTCATGCACCCTGATTAGTGGGTTCTCTGAAAACTCCTATTTTTGGGTCTCTGGCCTCAGTTTTAGTTCCTAGATTTTACTCTTTGATGGATTTCTCACTGAGCATTAATGGTTTTGCACTTTTTTCTGTGAAACAGAATGGTTTTCATTTTACTTCTGTTATTGCTGACCTTAATAACATTTCTATGAAAAGAATCATTTATTTTGTTTTGAAGGTTGGTAATGTTGTTTTCAAAGTAGATCTATAAAAATGTGTTCTTCTCCCTGCCTGGAACATTTCCTGACTTTTTGCACCTCTTGATGGAGAAACACAAAAAAGAGAATTCTTTGAGAAACCTGAAGTTTGTCTTTGTAATTTGTTTGGGTTCTGTTTTATTTTTAATTGATGCAGCTCAGAACAAAGCACCTTTTAAAAAAGAGCCAGACCTGGAGCAGTGGAGTGAAAAGTTCATGCTGGGCAACAAAGGAGCTGCTTGGAAAGAAAATGTAAGAGAAAATGGGACCAAGAGCAGCAGGAGTGAGCTCAGGATCTGCAGCATCTTGTCCCCACAAGGAGCTGGGACTGTCACTGGGCCTGCTGCTGCAAAGGTGCCTTGAACTGGGGACAAACCTCTCAGCTAGATGTTAAAATAGACAATTTCTTCATTTGCTAAGCATTTAATTATTGAAGCATTTTCTAAACATTTCCCTGGGTGCTTGGGGAAAATAAAGTCAGCTGAAATCGTGGATGATGGGGAAAACTCTGAAATCCTTGTCTGTGGGATTAAACCTCCATAGTTTGTGCTGTTGTAAAAATCCTGTGACTGTTTCTTTAGGAATGGGTTTGTGAGCAGCAAAATCCTCTTAAATCCTTGGACCCTGCTGTAACTGGAGAGAGCCTGGAAAGAGACCATGGTAAGAGGATTCAGCACTGTTAGAATCTTTGTTAAACTCTCATTAGGAAATAAAAATATTGGTCAGGAAATGTTTCAGCTGACATTTGTCACCTTGTCCACAATTTAGAAGGCAGTAGAAACCTGATGGAACTTTTCATTCATGTAGTGCTCCTTTTTAGTATGTTCTATCCATTTCTGAAAACAGCAAAAGTACATGTGGCATAAAAAGAGCCACCATTTCCAGACTGGTGGATGTTTGTGGGGTGTTTCTGCTCAGGATCTGGAGATGTGTGTGCTTTCCTACTGATGCTTTGAGGACTGAAGTTCTGTCATTTTTCCTCCAACACTGCAGTGTCCCAGCTGTGTGCCTGCTCTGCAGTGGCCGGGTGTGGGCCCAGTGGCACTGGAGATGCTGTGTCAGCCCTCAGCACGAGGAAGGCTGGGGCTGTGGAAGATGAGAGCCTGGCACTGAGCACTCCCAGCACTGCCCTGTGCCAGAGCAGCTCCCTGCTGAGATCCATCCTGAAGAAAACCCCAGCCAAGGAGCTCCTGGGCAGCCCCAGGGCTCACTCAGTGCTTGCCCAAAGCAGGAGCTTCCAGGTGCTTTGATTGCTATGGTTTGGAAATGATTTGGAAATTATTTATTTAATGCTTCTTGGTCATCTTGGAGCTTTGCTTGGAGCTCTCACGTTGGGAGAGGATCAGGGGTGACCCAATTGCACCTTCAGCACCTGAAGGGGTGTCAGGAAAAGCAGAGCCTTGACAGAGGTCTGGGGTGCCAGGAATGGCTTCAGAGGGCAGGGTTAGGTGGGAGCTTGGGGAGGAATTGTTCCCTGGGAGGGTGGGCTGGGGGATGCAATTCCCAGAGCAGCTCTGGCTGCCCTTGGGTCCCTGGAAGTGTCCCTGGACAGGGCTGGGAGAGCCCTGGGGTAGTGGGAGGTGTCCCTGCCCATGGCAGGGGTGGCACTGGATCATCTTAAGCTCCCTTCCCACCTGAACCATTCCATGATTGCATGAAATGAATGTTTTTGAGTTTTATTCATGCAGCAAACAAGGAGGTTTGGTTAAACAAAAGGACTGATTATTAAATGCTGCTTAGAGGACAATATTTTAATTAATCTTTGTTGAACTGTATCTCTTAAATTTGACAGGAATACTTCAACAGTGCCAGTGATGGAGGAGGAGATGAATCTGCTGCAGTCTCCAATTGTGTAAAAGCCTCTGAAACATTGCAAACAGGTCAGATTCCCCTTTCTAAGAAAAATAATTGCTTGGTTTTCTTTTTTTTTAATAAGTAAAATATTGGGATGATCAGGTTTTTGCCTCTTTGCTAAGTCTGGTTATTGGTATTAATCACCACTGAATGACCTCCTTGTGGCATCCTGCTGATGACATGGAAAACAGGATTGCCAAGGAAAGGAATGTCTATCAAAAAAAATAATCCAACCCCAATATTAAATCTTGGTCCCCAAATGTTTCAGGTGTGCCCTGCCTGGCTTTGTCTGGCATCGCAGCTGGACCAAAGGCAGCAGCTGTGGTGTTTTCACCCCAGAGATGCCTTTGGCTGGCTGGGTGCTGCAGCTGGGCACCCAGAACAAATCCAGGCAAAGTAGGAACTCAGTTTACCTGTGGTGGAAAAGGTTGAAGTGATGGTGAAGAGAAAAGGAGCAGGTTCTGCTGTAGAGTTTAAATCCAGAGTTCTATTTCAGCATGATACACCTCTGAACGTGGTAACAGCTCCAGACAGACACCCTGACTGCATGGTCTGTGTCCTTTTAAACCCTGGGGACAGGTGAGGGCCAGCCAGGTGTGAGCAGGGGAAGGGTCCCAGGATACAGACACTTGGACAGGCCAATGAGCCCAGACTGGGGGCATCTTTTGAACTTCTGCCAACCACACCATGACCCTGCTGGAATGTTAACATTGATGGACAGCACTTAGGCAGGAGGGCAAAGGGGGAGGGGAAAGGTTGGCACACCTGAGGGGGATGGGATAGGTGAGACAGGAAATCACTGCAACACCCCAAAACTTCAGAAAGCTTTGAGCACCTCAACAGAATCCCTGATTTTTGAGGGACCCTTACACTTTTCATGTGAAACTTGGGTGACAGGTACTCGTTTTTAGTGTGTTTCTTCCTTGATTGTTTAATAAATCCAGAGTGGCAATCCTGGCTGGCCTCACAGGTGAAGGTGGTGGTTTGGGTGGTGATTTTTAGGAGAATCTTTAAATCTCTTGCAAAACCTCTGCTCTGTGCCAGTTCCCCTTCACTCAGTGTTTATTTCATTTTATTCCAACAGAGAGAGCTGACAGTCAGAGCTCCAAAACACCAAAGAAGAAAAAAGTGACTTTTGGGGAAGTTCTGAGCCCCGAGATCTTTGACCAGAGCCTTCCAGCCAACACCCCCTTGCGCAGAGGGGCCTCCCCAGGGTGTGCCCAGGGCCAGAGCCCCTGGGCAAGGCCAGGCCTCTCCATGGAGCCTCTGCCCCTGCTGGATCTTGGCTGGGATGAGGTGAGCTGGTTGCTCTCTGTTCCCTGGCAGGGGTCAATCCTTGGTTCATTCCTGCTGGGTTTTGTGAGGAAATCGCTGAAATGTAAAAGCAGAGTTAAGTTGGAGTTAGACTCACACTGAGAATTGAGTTTTTAGGAATTCTGAGCAGCACTTTGGCCTGGAGAGCTGTTTTAGGAGGTTTCTGAACCTTGAAATGTTTTCCCCTTCACTTTTTCTTGTATTTTGCTGCTGTGTTTCTTTTTGCCACACAGAGCAAAGATGTTTTCTTTAAGGAAACAAAATAAAACCACTTTGTCTACAAGCACTGATGGGCAAGGTCCATCAAATATTTGCTGTAATTTATTGCTAAGAAATGTCATTTTCTGTTTGAAGGAAGGTGTTGAGCCTCTCCCAGAATTCCTGGAATGTTCAGAAGCCCCTGCAGAAGCCCCTTCACCTGTTGAAATTGCAGAAGGTAACCCCAACTTGTGTGTTTATCAGTAGATAATGAATCTTTTTATACCTGAAAACTGAAAGTTGAGGGTTTTGGTTTCTTTTTCTGTTTGTATTTTTTAATACACAGGATATATTTCAATTGTGCTAAAACTTGAATGCTAGCATTTAAATGGAGGGTTTTCTTCTGAAGCTCCTTGCAGTGTTTACCTGAGCTTAAGGTTAACTGGATCTTATTTAAACTTGGGATATATTCTGTGAAAATTTTACTGCTTAAAGGAATTATTTTTTTTTTAGAATCTTGATTCTGATACGGTAATTTTGAAGACTTTTAAACAGCAACCCAACAACAAAAGAATTGAAAGTGGGTTGTGCATATTCATCTATGAAAGCTTTGGATGTTCTAATTATTGTTACCAAATCCTCCCAAGCTGAGTCTTCCTCTATTTTGTAGAGCAAGTAGAAATTTTTATCTTGCCATGTTTGATACTTCTCAAGTTTAAGTTTCTACTCCAGACTAAAATGGCTGAAGTGCACAGTATCAGAAATAATGTAAATAATTTCCTCAAACTGTGATTAACTTGCATTGAACCTGACTAAAAATCCTTTTGTTTTTTCATTTATAGTAGCAGAGACTGACAAACCTGATGTGGTAACAACTCGTTCCTCTACTAAGAGGAAGGTGAGTTTCCTTGGTGATAAAATTTATTTTGTTTGTTTGAACTTCTTCAGGCAGAATTGTTCTTTTATCCCTCTTGATGCTTAAAAAAGTTTTTCCAGCCTCAGCTATGAGGATTATCTATATCCAGGTATATGGAAATACCTCCTGTTAGTGCCTTGAGGAAATGAGATTTTTCAGTGGAAGTGATTTTTCAGTTATTAAAAATACAGCCTGATACTTAAATTGACAATTTCTATTGAATTTTCTAGGAGCTTTTCCAAATAATCTTACAAAATGTTTTGGTTGCTGGAATTTCAAGGCACAGAATGGATTGTACAAGAAGTGGTGTCAGACTGCAGTGTTGGACAGCTCTGGTGGGAGGGGAAGGCAACAAATACAGGAATATACAGAAAATAACCCATTCTCCTAAATAACTGATGATAAAAATTGCTGTATTTCCATTATAATACAAACAGGACTGGATTGTACAGTGGGAAATGAGGCTGTAATATTTAATTCAATTCCCAGTTTTGCCAGCCTCTAATGAGGTGAGAAGAGATGAATTCCATTTGGTTCTTGTGCCTGCTGGCCTCTGGGGGTTCCCTGAGCAGCAAGTGCCCCCCAGACCCCAAATGCTGTTCCTCAGCAGTGCAGGGCCATGGCACAGGAGCCTGATGGGAGCAGCTCAGGAGCCACAAACCCTGAGAAGGACAAAGACACTGAAAACCCAGGAAGGAGCAAGGTTCAGAGACAGAGGAACCCAACCACAGCTGCTCCCAAGAAGACCCAGGTGAGTGCCAGCCACTGCAGTTGCTGAATTCTGCTTTTATTTTTCTTTATTTCTCTCTCCTTGTGTCCTACAGGATTATTTTGATCTTCCTGTTGCTGCCAATATTTTCTTTTTCATCCCCATCTTGTTTTCCTGCATTCCCTGCCCCATCTCTTTTCCTTGCTGACTTGAGGGCTTGAATTCTTGTAGGGCCAAAAGGATCTTCTTGGGTGTCATGGCTTGACACTGGCACAATGCCAGTGCCCCCATGAGGATACCCTCTCCCTGGTAGCTGCTGTGAGGTGTGACCAGGAATAAGCAAAGCAGGCTCCTACTTAGGGGAGAAAAACAAAACTTTATTAACTACATGACAACTACAAATAAAAAGGAACACACACAGGGAAAATGAAAACCTTACAAATACATTTCCTCCTCCCCCTACCAAATTTCCAACACAATACATCTATTCCCCAAATCACCAACTCTCGGTCCAGCAGCACCTTTTAGACAATCAATCCTCAGTTGATCAAGAGGAGAGGAGTCCTTCTTGTACCATGGGCTTCCCCTGGAAACACAGCTGAAGCTTTGTGTGTTTCTGTGTCACTCGTGGCACTGCCTGGAGTGCATCTGCCGTCGTGACCTCTTCCTTTCATGTCCAGTGCTCTCACCACAGAACACGGACCAGAGCTGCTTCTGGGGTTGTCTTTTTAAGGATGCTCTGTCCTGATCCAAAAAAGGCACAGTCTCTCCTTTGGGACACCTGTCCCCACAGTCTCTCCTTTGGGACACCTGTCCCCACAGGCTCTCCTTTGGGACACCTGTCCCCACAGTCTCTCCTTTGGGACACCTGTCCCCACAATCTCTCCTTTGGGACACCTGTCCCCACAATCTCTCCTTTGGGACACCTGTCCCCACAATCTCTCCTTTGGGACACCTGTCCCCCCCATATTTTTTCACCCCCTGGGGCCGAGGGGCACCAACACTGAACCCTCTTGGTTCTGTGGCCATTGCCTCCCCCTAGAATGCAGTCTCTGTGTCACAAGGAACATGGTTCTGTCCATGGCTATACAAAAAGAGTCCAGCAAAAGCCACTCCATCATCTCTTCCCACTAGGATTCTTCTCTGTTCTTCCACTATCTCTCACTCGCCCAGACCTCTCTCACACTTGCACATTCCTTCCTCATCTTCCACTCTCTCTTCTAGGAGAGGTCAATGATCTGTAAAGTTCTCATTCTCCAAAAAGGGGTTAAAAGCTCCTACAAGCAGCCGGCTGAACCCCCCCTTCTTCTCTGTCCCAGCCGTGCTGCCAGCACAGGCCCATGTTTATCAAGCTTCAAGGTTACAGTCCCAGGCACCAGCTCTCTCTCTCTCTCTCTCTGTGGCTCTCAGGGGGGGCTGCCCGATGGCTCCCAGTGTCTGTCTCTCTCTCTCTCTCTCTCTCTCTCTCTCTCTCTCTCTCTCTCTCTCTCTCTGTGTCTCTCAGGGGAGGCTGCCCGATGGCTCCCAGTGTCTCTCTCTCTCTCTTCCACCCTTCCACCCCCGGGCTCAGGCCTACCTCTCCCAGCCACATGGCTTTTCCTCTCCCCCTGCCCAGCCAGCAGCTGGGCAGGGGCAGAAACCCGAACTCTTTCCCGAAGGACCCTCCCAGGGGAGAGCTCTGCTTTTAACCCCGTGTTCTCAGAGGCGTGTCCAATGTCCCAATGGCCAGGTTAGATGCCAATATTAAAGCCTGAATATCCATTGGCCCAAAACAGCATCCCAAAAAACACATTTCCTGTCAAACCACCACATTGGGGATAGGTGTTTGTGTGTCACTTTTCAGACTTGAGGGCCAACAAATGACTTTGTGCTTCTTCCCTTAGCAAGTTCTTGCAGAGACATGTTAGAAAAGGAATTATTTGTTGCTTATGAGTGTCCAGATTATTTGGTAGCTGGCAGAGGAAGTGGAATCTTCCTTTTAGGGGAAACAGTTGTCATCCATCAAAATCCAGTAATGGGGTCACTTACTGAAAAATAATGTAGAGGATGATTAAAATTTCACTGTGCTTTATTCTCCTTCTCAATCTTTTCAGAGAAAAACCCGCCCAAGCTATGGGAAAAGAAGAAAGAAAAAAGTCAAGAAGTCTTTGTATGGGGAAAGAGAAATGGCTTCTAAGAAACCCCTTCTTAGCCCTATCCCTGAAATCCCAGAGGTTTTCTCTTCTATGTCCTCTCCAGACTCACCAAAGGCAGATGCACTTCTTACAGGTAATTTAGGTTTTAGTTTTGTTTTGCTTTGCTCTTTCTGTTCCTCAACAGTTATACAAAAAATATTTTTCCTTTTAATTGCTTCTGTAATAGCAGAGTATGGAGGATCTAATAAATTAATAATGTCCAGCTGATAAATTCAGTTCTTGTTGGACTCCAGGGTAAATCTGACCAAAATTCCACCTCTTTACTTTGGGCACTGCTATTTTCATAGTATTTAAGCTGGTGAGCTGGGCATGAAGAGTGAAGCAATGTGCAGAGCTTTCTTAGATTGCAAAAACAGACTCAAAAGAGATTGTCTGCAATGAATAAAGGAATCACTTCCTCCTCTTCCCTTTCAAGAAGTGGGGAACCTGTTTCTATCTTCTGAAGAGGCTTTGGGCATGAGCAGAGGTGGAGTTCTTTAGAATGAGATTTAGTGTTAGAGTTCATGAACAATTCTCTGATGTAAAGGGTGGTCATTCAAGGAAAAAAAGCTTTTAGATCTTGATTTGTATGAAATTCATCTAACAAATGAACTTGGCTGAGGGGAGAGAAGCATTCCTCACCAGCAAGGCTGGTTTTCTGTTGGCTTTGTTCTCCACTGTTTATGTGGGATGTTGTTTAGAAGGTTATTTTTATATAGGTAAATAAGTATAATAAGTAAAGATACCTTGAAGTTTTCTTGTAACACACGAAGATGTTGTGCATTCAGTCACTGAACCCCGTGTTTCTCTTGTGCAGAGGGTGCAGGTGTGGCTGATCCCAGGTGCAGGGACACTGCCCAGGAGCCCCTGGCTGGAAGGATGCGTGGGCAGGGGCTCTGGGCAGCTGCTCTGTGCCCCAGCCCTGGGCTCCTGGAGGAGGCAGCAGCCCCCAGCTCTGGGCCTGGAGACTCTGAGGTGCCAGGGAGCCTGGACTCTGCTCCTGAGGTAACTGCTGGGCTCAGGGGGCTCAGAGGGGGGAGCCCTGGGAGTGATGAAACTGGGACAGGCAGCCTGCAGGCCATGGATCTCCATCCCTGGAAGGAGGGGTTGGGCACTCAGAGCTCAGCCTCTCAGCAGCCTGGGCCCATGGCAGGGCTGGAATGGGATGATCTTTAGGTCTCTTCCATCCCTGGCCATTCCAGCATTCTCTGCTTCCCAAGCAACCTAAGCTTGGCCTCCCACTGAAACAGACCCAGCCTGCAGGATTCCCTGTCAGGGGTTGGGGTTTGGAGAGTCACATGGTAAGGAGAACAGTAGCCAGTTCAGCTGTTTGAAACCGGTTTTTATGGATTACCTTTTGCCTATATTTAAAAAAAATGTATTTTTTTGATTTTCTCTCCCCAGTTTTCAAACGCTGTGCCAGATGCAGAAGGTGATTTTGATACATCTGATTATTTTCAGCAAGGCAAAGAGACTCCATGTGAAAAAGAAGCAGAAGAAAGCAGTTCCTTGATAGAAAAGGAAGAATTACAAGGAAATCTCTTAGGTGGGCTGGAAATTCTGGAACAACAGGAGGGTGCCCAGAGAGGCAGGTGTCCTCCCAAGGACTCTGGTAGACGTGATCCAGCAAGGAGGAGAAGAAGAAGCAGCAGTGCCTTCTACTTCCCTCCTGTTGAGAACTTGGAAATTACTGGGGCTGATCTTGCAGTTTGCTCTTACAATGTGGATGAAGTTTTCTCAGCCCCCCAGGCCAAGGAGGGGCCCCTGCAGGCCGGCAGGAGGAGGAGCAGGGCCAGCGCCGAGCTCAGGGTGAGGCGCAGCATGAGGCTGAGCAAGGACACAGCCAGCAGGGGCCTGGCCTGGATTCAGCTTCCCGGTGAGATTCCCAGGGAGCCTCCCCTGCCCGCTGCTCCCAAGGGCAGGAGAAGCAGCAGCACATCCATCCTGGCAGGCTCTGAGAATATTCACCCCAGGGAGCACAGCCTGCCCCCCTTCCCAGCCCCAGGGAAGGAGAATGAGGCCTCTGCTCCCCTCGCTGCACGTCCTGGCAGGAGGTGGAGGAGGAGAAGCCTCTGTGAAGCCACAGCTCAAGAAACATCCTGGGCTCCCACCCAGAGAAGGAGAAGCACAAATTCTGTGTGTGGGAAGGACAGGAGTGACCAAAAACACTTGGAAGCAGCAGAAACTCTTGAGCTAAGGTTGAAAGATGCTTCAGGCATCTCTGATTTTCTGAAGTGAAGGTGCTTCTTAGAGCCTTGTGTTGTCTCTCAAGTGCAGTTTTCCTCTCTGTCCCACTTGTATTTCCTCACTTATTCGCTTATTCATTTTCTGGGTAACTTAGAACTCCTTTTCCTTGTCTTGATGTCTAAAATGCTTGAAGACCTGAACTGTGTGGCAGACTGGCTCAGAGCTTTGGTCTGGTACAGTTATGGTAGGTAATGAAGAGAATTAAAAAATTCTTCTCCCTAATAAATGTGGGTTTGTCTTTAGCAGTTGAACCAGAGTCAAACGTGTCCTTCCAGCTACAGTTGCTCCAAGGCTTTGTTTCCCAGGTGTGTGACCATTCCCTAGAACTTGCTGTTGAAATCTGCATATGTTTTATTCTAGATTGCAAAAATAGACTCAAAAGAGATTGTCTGCAATGAATAAAGGAATCACTTCCTCCTCTTCCCTTTCAAGAAGTGGGGAACCTGTTTCTATCTTCTGAAGAGGCTTTGGGCATGAGCAGAGGTGGAGTTCCTTAGAATGAGATTTAGTGTTAGAGTTCATGAACAATTCTCTGATGTAAAGGGTGGTCATTCAAGGAAAAAAAGCTTTTAGATCCTTATTTGTATGAAATCCATCTAACAAATGAACTTGGCTGAGGGGAGAGAAGCATTCCTCACCAGCAAGGCTGGGCTTCACTTCCAGCCCTTCCCAGCCCTGTGTGTGTGTCCTGAGCCCATCCCCTGTTTGCCCTTTTCTGCTTGGAACAATGGAATCAAGAGTGAGGACTGCAGGTGCTCTGCTCCAGGCTTTGCTGCTGCTCTCATTTTCCATCCTGGGGTGTCCCAGCCCAGAGGATGCCCGTGCCAGCCTGGAGGAAATGGCTTTGTGTCCAACAGTCCCTGCTGTGGCTGGGTTTTCCCATGAGTGCTGTGGGATAAAATCCTTTATGTACTTGGCTGCTTTTATAGAGCTTGAAAGAAACCAGAGCAGTTGGATTTTTATGCCTCTTTCTCCCAAGACAAGAATTCCTAAAGCAACTTGAAAGAAACTCCACTGTTGAAGCTGTTTGAGTTACAGAATCCTTGGGGTTGGAAAAGAGCTTTAAGATCAGAGTCCAGCACTGCCCTGTGGCCCATAAACCACGTCCCCAAGTGCCACATCTCCATGTCTTAAATCCCTCCAAAAACAGTTGCCTTAATGTTTGCCTTGGGGCTTTGCTTTGGGGTTGGGTTTGGAAGCAGACTGGAGAGTTCCTGGCTGGATGCTGTGCTTGGCTGCCAGGAGAGGGCAGCCTGGGCTGAGCTTTCTGCTTCGAAGGGACCTGGAAAAGAACATGGACAAAACTGAGAGGCTGGCTGAGCTTATAATGTAGAGCTTAAAAGAAGAAAATGAGTAAAAACAGCTCCTTTTACTGTTCAAAACAAAGCAGCAATTGAGCTGTGCACTGGAATTTAACTGGGAAAGTGAAATGATGATGATGATCTGGAATCAGGTGTGAGTTTCATCTGGAAATCACTTTGTGCTTAAACAGATTCAAGTTGTACTTGAGCTGTCTGGGTGTCTGTGCAGCCTTTAGGTACCAAATCCAGCCCTGGGTGACACTGGGGCTGTCACATCCTGAATATCAGGCACTCGTGAGACCAAGGAGTTGTTCTGGAGGAAGAGACAATAAATTCATGTGTTTGATACAGGACAATAAATTCATGTGTTTGATACAGGACAATAAATTCATGTGTTTGGTACAGGAGGGGTTAATCCCGAGGCTGCCCAGAGCTCTGGGGGTGCTGCCCCTGAGCACAGGGAGCTCTCAAGGCTCCCTGAGAGGCTCCCCAAGTGCACCTGAGATGGGACCAGGAGAACAAGGGCAAGGAGAGGAGAACAAAGCTTGGATTTTCCTCCTGGCACAGCTGGGTGGGAAAGGGTTGGTAGGGATCATTTGTGGATGCTTGAGGGCAGTGGCAGGGTGAGGAAACCTACAGGAAAGGAAGAGGTTGCAGTTCTTTCCAAGAGATGTCTACTTTACGGTGCTTTTTAGTTCCTTTTGTCCTTCTTTGGATAGAATTTATCCTCAAAATGCTTTATTTGCTTAATCTGGAGAGGATTTGAACAAGTCTTCAGCTGTGCAGAAGGTGCAGAGGTGGGGGGCAATAATCTGTTCTCCATATCTGCACTGAAAAGGACAAGAAATGTGTTTTAGTCAGAGGAAAAGGTCTCTGTTAAACATTAAGGGAAAGTTCTCACAGCAGTGATGGCCAAGCAGGGGAACCCAGGGCCTGGGGAAGTGTGGAATCTCCATCACTGGAGCCTTCAGGAACAGATTAAACAAATACCTGTCAGCAATGACAGATGAGCCTTCCTGGGGTGGGGACAGGCCAGGATGGCCTCTGGAGGCTCTGGCTGTTTTCTGATTGTGGAGATTGCAGGAGCTGCTCTGGGCCTTGCTGAGCAGCCCAGGCCTGGGCTGGGATCCGTGGTGGAGCAGGGAGCTGGGGCAAGGCTGTGCTGGGGCAGCTGCAAACTGGGCCAGCTCCTCAGGCAGGGCCCCTGCAGCGTCTGGGGGCTTTAAACAGCCAGAGCTCACCTGAGTGCCTGCTCTGCCTCGGAGCAGGAGCTCACTGGGCTCCTGAGAACGCACTGAGAACGCACTGAGAACGCACTGAGAACGCACTGAAAACGCACTGAAAACGCACTGAAAACTCATTCAACTCCTGAAAACTCACTGAAAACTCACTGAGCTCCTGAAAACTCACTGAAAACTCACTGAGCTCCTGAAAACTCACTGAAAACTCACTGAGCTCCTGAAAACTCACTGAAAACTCACTGAGCTCCTGAAAACTCACTGAACTCACTGAAAACTTCTGAACTCCTGAAAACTCACTCAACTCCTGAAAACTCACTGAGCTCCTGAAAACTCACTCAACTCCTGAAAACTCACTAAACTACTGAAACCTCACTCAACTCCTGAAAACTCACTGGAAACTCACTGAACTCACTGAAAACTCACTCAACTCCTGAGAGTGGGACCTGCACCTGGTGCCTGTGCTGTCACACGGGGTGGGAGCAGCAGTGTAATTCCATTCTCCCATCTGCTTTCCAAAATCAACATTTCCCTCACAATGACCAGCAGCTTTTCTGGAGTTGTGTCTTGCCTTAGTGGCCATGGTGGGGGTAGGAAATGAAATCAAGGTGTGTGACAGCAGAGAGATGTCAGGACTCTTTCAGTTGGTGCTTCTGGTTTCCAGCTCTGCCTGAAGGAGATTCCAGTGGTTTTTTCCCGTTTTTATGTGCTGAGCTGCAGCTCAGACCATGTGTTATAGTGGCATCTGAATAAATCCATGGCATCGCCGTTCCTCTTCCAAAGCCTGGCTCTTCTCCCTTTGGAGGGCTTTTATAAAGATGAATTTGTGTTTAAAAGTACTTCCCTACTTTAATGTGAGTGGACTTTAAATGACTTCAAGCAGGTACAAGGCAGCCCTGGGTATGGGTTGGTGAATAATTGCATTTAGCAGCTCCCCACGTAATTGCTGCTCTGACTGGCAGGGAGGACAAGGGCTGGGCCTGGAAGGGCTGATTGTTTTGCTGCTGTGTAATTATGATGTTGTTAATAAGTAAGAGTAATTACACATCACTTCTGTGAAGTGCAGTGGTGATGGATTTCCAGAGCTGGATATCTGGCAGGTATTTCACAGTTGGAAAAGTCTCTGCTTCACTTTGCTCAAGGTACAAAGAACAATCCTATCCCTGAATTCTCCAGGAGGTTTTCAAGGGAAAGTGTTAATGTTTCTCAGGAATTTTTATGCCAATATTTTGCCTTAATTAAGCTGTGCATAAATTATAAAAGGGGGGATGAGATGACCAAATTTCTCCCATATGAGTTAATAAAAGTTGAAGAAGTAAAAGTTTTCTCATCCTGACCTGATAAGCAGGGGAAAAAAAAATAACAAGAACTGTACATGCCATTTTTATTTATTTCACTTTAAAAGAATTGTAAATAAATCTGATTTTCAGCTGGTTTTTTTTTGTACTTTATCCTGACTAATGAGCAATAGAAGATGCTGAAACACCCGAGTGCTGCCTGGCAATGTCACTGCTGTGGGTTTGTCTGGGTCAGTTGTTCAGAAATATTTAGAAAGTTTGTGCTTGACTCTTCCTCCTCTTCCTCACTGTGAATCCTCTCACTCTTAGACCTGGAGAGACTTTAGTGCTGAACAGAGAAGCAAACAGCAAAGGCTTGGTGGGGCTGTGGCCAGGGAGGTGGAGAAAGGGGGAAATGGCAGGGATGGCTTCAACATGCAGGAGCACGAACAGGCAGGGGAAGAAACTGCATTTGCAAGCTGCCAACAGGTAGGTGAGCACTGGAAATAAATTAAAAATACTGGGGTATTCCTTCAATAAGGTTTTAAAGTGAGGAAGTAAAATCAAAATGTTTTAGGTGGAAATACAGTCCAGTTTCCCTGTGCCCCTGTGGAGGGGCTGGAGCTGGGCCCGTGACTGGGAGACAAGCAGCCTAATGTATTAGTTTGGTAATTAACTCCTGTAAATTGTGCATAACAGAGCAATTAACTACTTTAGCTGGGCTTGGGAGGGGGGAGCAGGAAAATCTGTGCTGTGGGAGTGAGGGCATGGAACAGATTCCCTAAGCCAGGCCTGAAAAACCTGGTGTTAGTCTTGGTTTATTTCCAGTGACCCCTTGACTCCCATCTTCCTGCCCCCTGCCCGGACTCAGGGCTGGTCAGGCAGCTCTGTTTTTGGAAGGCAGAGGAGACAGATATAATGAATGGCTTTTATTGTGCAATATTTCAACCCCTTTTTGACTGCATTCGGATGGGATGGAAAATGTTCCACCCCACGCCGCAGCCAAGATAAATAAAACTTATTCCCTAAACCTGGCTCTGTGTTTCACTCAAACTGGCAGTAGTTAGAGCTCCACTCTTAAACAAGAATTTAGTTTGACAATTTTTAGGCCTTGTTCAGCTGAATGTAACAGCCAAAGAAAATACTTGGGGAAAAAAAAATTAAATACATGTATT